TTTAAATTATGGATATAAATTCAGCCAAATTTATTTAATTTATTTTATTTGATTTTAAATTTTGTATATTTATGTGTTTTATTTCATGGCTGTACACCGCCCTGAGTCCTTCGGGAGTAGGGCGGTATAGAAATTCAATTAATAAATAAATAAATAAATAAATAATAGATACAAACTCAAGGTAAACCGCTCCAAATTTAATTGCAGAAAATATGACTTCAGTAACAGAGTGGTCAACGCCTGGAATGTACTACCTGACTCTGTAGTTTCTTCCCCAAAACCCCAAAACTTTAACCTTAAACTGTCTACTGTTGACCTCACCCCATTCCTACGAGGTCTGTAAGGGGCATGTATAAGTGCACCAGCGTGCCTATCGTCCCTGTCCTAATATTCCTTTTTACTTACTCTTTTCATGTATTCAAATTATGTTTATACTTTTACATGTTATCGTATATATGATTGACAAAATAAATAAATAAAATAAAATATGAAGTGTCTTCTCCATATGCTATTGAACATTTATATAAAAATGCTGTAAGAAGTCATTTGTTTATCTAAGTGAAGTATCATCAATGCACAGATGACTAGCATAAACCAGGAAATAAAGATTTGGAAGTATGTAGGCTGTGAGAGATTGAAAAGTGAATAGCAAGTTCAGACTGAACCCTAGTAGTAAGATAGAGGTGGCGTTTCTCTATAAACATCTAGTCTTTCCAGAAATATCCATTATGGTCGCTGGTCTGATAGCTCTCCCTCTGAATGAGCAAGTCTGTGATTTTTTGGGGGGGAGGGTGTTCTTGGATTCATGCTTCCTACTTGGAGCAGATGGAGTCTGTAGATAGGGAGACTTTTGTCCACTTTAGCTAGTATGCCCTGCCTAGATCAGGAAGTATTGGCAACAGTAACTCACACTCTTATCACCACATGTTCAGGCTCTTAAAATGTGCTTAGGTAGGGCTGCCTTTGAAGATGACTCAGAAACTATGAGTGATAAAAGAATGCAGAGGTCAGGCTCTTAGCAGGAGAACTCCACTATTGCAAAACAACCCCTTATAGAAATTAGGAGGCCATGACTCTACATGGGGTGTAAAGACACTTAGAGAAAGTCCACTCAAGGTCCAGGTCTCTGAGACATGTGCAACAGCTTCAAGTCACTAGGTGGACATCTCAGTGGTTGCCCACATGTTATGGAATATAATGACTACAAAGCTAAAATTGGACACTTCTCTCTTGGCATTCAGAATAACATTTTTTTAAAATCATTCTGTACTGAACAGGCATTCAACATTTAGTTGATTATTATTGAGGAACCTTATTTTAATTATGGTCTAATGATGACTTTATGCATTGTGTTTGCCATTGTGGGGTGTTTATTTTGTCTATTGTGATGTTATTTTTGTGAATAAATGAATAGATAAATGAAGTAAAATAAAATAATATGAAGTAAACTGCTAAAAAGTTAGGAATTAGTATATAATTAGAAGATATAATGAAAAATCAACCAAGAAAGAGCTGTGTTCCCATGAAAGACTCTCCTAGCTCATCCATTTTTTGATGTTGAAGGTACCAGATAATTTGACTAGCAGAAAAGCAAAGAATTGTCCACGGCAATAGTGATGCCTGTGCAAGAAAACTACAAATGATTGATGATTTATATCTCACTTTCTTGTATTACATTTTCTTAAAAATTCTACATGATGCTGCCCAGGAGAAAAGATGCTAGGCTGCCCAGAAATTGATGAATTTCTCTCCATTTCTGCTTTAAGTAATTTTATTGCTTTCAGGTTTCCACTCTCATTTGCCTCATTTCCATATCAGCTTGAGATTGTTTTGATCGTACAACCATATTTCTTTTTATGCGCCCCTCTCTTTACTTGTGTACACTAGAGGATTTTTACAATGCAGTCTTGGCTTTTATGTACATTTTTTTCAGTTTTGTAATGTATTTTTATGTTGTTTCAGTAATATATTCATGGAGGGTTACTTTTCCCTAGGTTCTGCAACTTGCTACATATGTTTTTGATTGAAGACGTTCACTGCAAAGTTCAGAGAAGGGTACATTGAAGGGGAGAATTGTGCCTCAGTCCATGCAATTCAATGTGCAGAATTAGATCTGATTGACTAAAAGTTTGAACTCAACATATTTATCATGAAGCCGAAACTGGCATTATCACAGCTTGGAGATTTTGGGAAATGCAAGGAATCTTTGATTAAGTGATGTTTCTAGAGTTTCTAGAGATTCTCTTTCTGCCTCAAATAACTGTAACAAGAATAATCTCTTCTCTCCAAAGGCTCCATGTAAATAATATTGAGGCAAAATGAGAAGAAGTGACAACTTGGTAAAATGTCCTTTCACAAAATGGCTGCCACTATAGGCATGGCCAATCAGAAGTGTTTGCCCAAAAGACTAGGGCTAGGATTGAGTATTGGCTAGGGAGAACTGGGGAATGCAAAGATAGAGACTGAACTGAAAGAACTGGATTATCCCGCTGCCAGACCAGGAGGACTCTGAAGGACCCAACCTAAAGAAGCCAATAGGAAGGGGCAGATCTCAATCACTAGGTGTTAAGTGACCACTTACCCAGCAAAACAGCCAAGGAAGCATATCAGATTTATTGGGTTAAGAGAGAAAAGAATATTGTTAAACCAGGACAGCTAAAGATAATTTAATTTGCCATACACAGAGAAGCAGTTGAGAATGAGAAGGTGCAAAGAAAGAAGCTGATGGGGCATGTTAGATGCTATGAAAAGATGCAAGCAAAATTCTAGGTGTACAATGCTACCACAGCCTTTTCAACAAACGAACAAGCAGCTTCCCCACTCCCCACCCCCAACCTTTCTGGCACATTCATATTATCACTTGACATTCTCATTTGAGTATAGAAGTGGTGAAGGGCTCTGCCAGCTGAAGTTTCTGAACTTTGAGGCTTGCTTTCAAGTTAATGAATTTTAATAGCACATGGGGGAGGGGGCGTAGAAGTGCAATTAAGATTAGGGAGATAGGTAGTAAATTAATGTTAAGGAATAATTAAGGACTATACTTTATTCTGAGACGTCGATTCGCAAGATCCCCTTTGATAACGATTAGTAATCCGGAGAGACTTTGCTCCATTTATCAATGATTTGCTTCCACTGAAATTCTTTGCTGACTCAGGTTCTCCATGTTATATTGTACAAAGTGAGACAGAAATGTCCTTTGGGAGCAATATACTGTTGGAAACTTAGAAGTAAAGGCAATGAATGGATATGAGGAGAACTTTTCCTAGATTAAAGGTCTCCACTTCAAGCAGGATGCCCTGAGCCAGATGAACAATCTTTGGCGCCCCATTTTGGCCTTAGCAAGCCTCCCTGCAGCCCCTGGGAGCCAAAACAGGGCACGGGGGGGACCCCTGTAAGGGGCGGGGAAGGTAAGGTCATGAGCCCAATGGGGGTGGTGCAGCATGCTCTGGGGGGGAGGGTAGCGTGACTTACCTATAGACAGGAGGCAGCAGCTCAGTTGGGGTGCAGGGCAGGCACGACGTGGGAAGGCAACTTAGGCAGGCAAGCAGCCCGGGTGGTAAGGAGGAAAAGGAAGTGACTGGGTGGGGTGGGAATGGGTTCAGGGGCGAAACCAGCCAGCAATTAATACCGGTTCTGCGACCCTTGCCAATTTATCGCTACCGGTCCTCCCAGTTGGCTGCCAAGCTACCAAGGTTGAGAAACACTGACTTAAGTGTATCACTGCAGTTGTTAAGTTAGTAACACCATTGTTAAGTGAATCTGGCTTCTCCATTGACCTTGCTTGTGAGAAAGTCACAAAAGGTGATCACATGACCTCGGGACACTACAACTATCATAAATACATGCCAGTTACCAAATACATGTGATCGTATGAATTCTGATCATACAATCACATGAAGATGCTGCAACAGTCGTAAGTGTGAAAACCGTTTATAAGAAACTTTTTTCAGTGCCATTGTAACTTTGGACAGTCACTAAATGAATGGTTGTAAGTTGAGGATTACCTGTATTTAGGGAGAGCTGGAAAAGTAACAATTTAATCATTAAAGACATGAGGAGAGCATGAGACAGCCATCATCTCAGATTAGCCTAACTAACAAAGCAAGCATACCAGTGGTGGGATTCAAATTTACTACTGGTTCTGTTGGTGTGGCTTGATGGGCATGGCTTGGTGGGCATGGCAGGGGAAGGATACTGTAAAATCCCCATTTCCTCCTGATCAGCTGGGACTCGGGAGGCAGAGAATAGATGGGGGCGGGGCCAGTCAGAGGTGGTATTCACCGGTTCTCTGAACTACTCAAAATTTCCGCTACCGATTCTCCAGAACTGATCAGAACCTGCTGAAACCCACCTCTGAAGCTTACGTCAAACCACAACCATTCCCCCTTCTCCAACATACAGTTCTCTCAAATAGAATATTTTCCAGGATTAAAAAAAAGAAGAAGGTTGCAAAGAAAGAAGTTCTAGATTTCTTATAGTAATGATTAGTTTAATTTTAAAGAATAAGCATGTCCACTCCTTTTTACTATTTTCCTGGTCTACCAAATATAGTATTTTGAGTGAATATAAACTATTTTTTGCAGAGTTTGAAACTCTGCAAAGAGACCAGTGGGAATGCTATTGATTACAATGTCATTATTTTGAAATAAGTTATTCATTCATCATAGATAACACCCGGGCAATCTGAGAAGATTGAATGAGAAATAGAAAGATTTGGCATTTAGATATGCTGGCACCAAACTATCCTTTTTATCAGGAAAAAGATGAGAAGGCCGATCCTTTTGGATAACTTAAGTCATCTCTATTCGCTTTCTCTTCCATATTGCAAGGTCAGCATCTAGCAAATACTGCTGCCTCTGAATGACTTAAGTTCAGGCAAATTATAAAATATTCAGTCACGGGATATGCCATGATTTAACCACAGTTACAAACTATGCCATGATTTAAAACCAAAAACAACCTAGGATGCTAGAAAACAGAATGATCAAAATAACATCTGCCTGGATTAACAACATAATAATCCATTTAAAATGAAGAGGAATAAAAAAATTAGCAAGCTTGTCTTAATGAAGGCGTCAGAACGACATATCCTTTGTATTCTAAAGTTCGGGAACGTTGCTAAAGAAAATGGTATGCTCCCGTCCAAGGCTGGCAATAGTTCTAGGCTGTCTTGGAGCCTGCTTGGTAGGCCAATAATATCCTGGACCAGGGACTTTCTGTACAGAATAAGATACAAACAAGATCATTATGAAATAAATGAAGATAGATTTCTATAACAAAATAACAACAATGCTAGTATTCGCAGCTCAGATCTTGTTCAAATCAGTCTTTTGTTTGTTGTTTGTTTGTTTGTTTGTTTGTTCGTTCATTCATTCATTCATTCATTCATTCATTCATTCATTCATTCATTGCTACCAAAATAAAATAAAATAAAACCCACCCCCAGAACAGGTACTAGCTGGACTGTCATCTGGAATCAGTCTGAGATAGAATAGAACAGAACAGAAATTTCCTGACAGTTAGAACAATTAATCAGTGGAACAATTTGCCTCCAGAAGTTGCGAATTCTCCAACACTGGAAGTTTTTAAGAAGATGTTGGATAACCATTTGTCTGAAGTAGTGTAGGGTCTCCTGCCTAGGCAGGGGGTTGGACTCCAAGGTCCCTTCCAACTGTTATTCTATTCTGTTCTGTTCTGTTCTGTTCTGTTCTGTTCTATCTCAGACTGATTCCAGATGACAGTCCAATTAGTACCTGTTCTGTTCTGTTCTGTTCTGTTCTGTTCTGTTCTCCTTAGTTCTAAGTTGCTTCTCTCCTTGATTAGTTTCCACCCATTGCTTCTTGTTCTACCCTCAGGTGCTTTGGAGAATAGCTTGACTCCCTCTTCTTTGTGGCAGCCCCTGAAATATTTGAACACTGCTATCATGTCACCCCTAGTCCTTTTCATTAAACTAGACATATCCGGTTCCTGCAACCATTCTTCATATGTTTTAGTCTCCAGTCCCCCAATCATCTTTGTTGCTCTTCTCTGCACTCTTTCTAGAGTCTCCACATCTTTTTTACATCGTGGCGACCAAAACTGGATGCAATATTCCAAGTGTGGCCTTACCAAGGAATTATAAAGTGCTATTAGCACTTCACGGGATCTTGATTCTATCCCTCTGTTTATGCAGCCTAGAATTGTGTTGGCTTTTTTGGCAGCTGCTGCACACTGCTGGCTCATATTTAAATGATTGTAGGAATATCCTGTTAATTTTACCATTAAGGAGTATGTTTCAAGATATTGAAGTAGGGAATGTAAGACCTGGTAACTACCTAGTCTGAATCTCCTTGCTCTTTTGGCCCTGCCTGTCTGCTGCATCATTTCTCAACCTCAGCAATTTTAAGATGCTTGGACTTCTAACCCCAGAATTCTCCAAGCAGCAACACAAATTTGGAGCATAGTAGGCTTGTCTAAGCTGTTCTTAGCAACCATAACCAAATTCAAGTTGATTAGAATTACAGTCCTTGAATAATAGACTTGGAAACAAGCCATTCAGGCTATCAGGTCCAACTCTTTTCTCAGTGCAAGAATCCAAATTAAATTATACTAACATTATGGTATGACTCATATAATTAAAGATAATGGATTGTATTCATCTACCAAACTAGAATGTAATATCACAAAATTCACAGACATGTGCCTAGTTTTCACAGTAGCTTTATATTTGCTGCCAGTGAATATTAGAAAGCAGAATGAACAAGCTTACTGCTGCAGGATGAATAGCGCTAAATGAAACATTACACAAGTAGTCCTAGATTTACAGCCACAATTGAGCCCAAAATTTATGTTGCCAAGTGAGATATATATATTAAATGAGTTTTGCCTCATTTTATGACCTTTCTTGCTACAGTTGCTAAGTGAATCACTGCGGTTGTTAAGTGAATAACATGGTTGTTGAGTGAATCTGGCTTCCCCATTGACTTTGCTTGTCAGAAGGACACAAAAGGTAATCACATGATCCCGGGATACTGCAACCATCATAAATATGAACCAGTTGCTAAGCATCCAAATTTTGATCACATGACCATGGAGATGTTGCAACAGTTGTAAGTGTGAAAACCGGTCATAAGTCACTTTTTCAGATCCATTGTAACTTTGAACAGTCACTAAACAAATGGTTGTAAACCAAGGATTACGTGCAATGGACTAGAATGCCCCCATGTTTGGGCTTCATCTTGATCTTTCAAGACTGAGCACCCTTCCTTATTCCAGGTTCCCCAACTTCAGAAAAGATCCCAGGTATATTGTCAAGTGTTCTTCTAATACATCAGGCAACCAGTCTGATCTTCTCCACAATTGGGTTTTATTTCCGTGGATGCAAGTTAATAATGCCTGAATCTAAGTAACATTTACTGTTTTCATGTTTTCTTTTATATCTTGAAAATACAAGGTTCCCCCCTCCACAAAGAAAGCTGAAAATCCAAAGGCTGAACATGGAATGTCTCCAAGAAAGTCAGGAATCCCAAGTCAGCCCTACAGCTGCAAGCACAGATTGAGCCATTTTCAATATTATACTCACAGTGTGGGCTGGCAATATTCGTGGTACTTTTGATATGAAGGACGATCGTATTGGAACTGGTTGGGCATCCTTTATTTCATACTCCCCTGGGCCTGGACCTTGTTTCTACAACGTAATAAAATGCTTCTTTTTTACAAGTTCCATATATGTAAATACTTCCATAACACTGTTATTCCTAACATGCTGTAGTCTTAAAGACATTGCTAACATAATCAACACTTGCAAGACAGCTACTCAAGACTTGAAATACATGCAGCATATTTTGATAGCATGGATAACATTTGCAACATCTCAGTGGGTCATTTGATTTGTGCTATTGGAGAATTATGCCAAATAAGATTAATAATCATGAAACTAGTACAGATCCTACCCACCATATTCATTCAATTAACAGATTCTGAAAATCTAATATAGAAACTGAAAATCTAACTTAAGATGCCTAGTACTGATATCCATCCATCAATTATCTAAATAGCATTTTCTAATTCCATGGTTCTATGCAGTCATCCTCCAATATATCTACTTGATTTCAACCACATGATGACCACAAAAGTTAATGTAGAACATTTGGATTTTAGAATCCTTTGCAGGACCAACATCAGGTTAGACTGAACAGTTTGCATCTTTCCTATGATCAGTGTACGCTATTCACATAGATCAGGGGTGTCAAACTGGATTTCATCGAGGGCCAGATCAGCATTGTAGTTGTCCTCCACAGGGGAAGGGAGATGTGGGGGAGACAGGACAGATGCCTCCTGCAGTACCCTGCCAACGAAAACAGGGAGAGGGGGGGCCACATGGGGCCCCATACCCCATTTTCAGCCAGGACTGTCTCCTGTAGCACTCTGCTGCCAAAATGGGGTACGGGGGTGCACACACACCCAATTTTGGCTAGTAGGGTGTTGCAGGAGGCCATACAGGCTGAAAATGGATTGCAGGGAGGCCGCACACAGCCCACCATGCCTCATTTTTGCTAGCAGAGGCACCGCAGGCCGGTCCTTTGCTATTTCCAGGCCGGCCCTGTGGGACAGATCTAAGTAACCTGTGGGCCAGATTCGGCCTGCGGGCCTTGAATTTGACACATAGATTCAAGAACCTACATTGCTCAAGATTTGTTTGTTCACAAGACGCTTATTAAACTTCTATAACCACTGAACCTGTGCATATCTAGAAAAATATAGTGCAAACCTTTATACATAAAGTGAACATTATATCTCTGTTTATCCTGAATGGTCATTTAAATTGGCACCTCCTTTGCAGGAACTTAGATGGAGATCTTTCTTACTATACGACCCATTCTTAACTGGAGATGCCAGGAACAGAATCTGAGATCATGTGTTGTCTATTAGTAAGCTATGAGTCTTTTGTACAGCAGACAATTTAGGCAGAGTTGTGCCTAAATTTGGAGCAGTTTGGAGGAAGGAAAGGTTTAGCTGCAGCTATAGCTTCTCTGTGCATGTCTGCTTATTTGCCCAAATATTTGGTTGTATGGCTGCCTGTGGACAAAGAAACATCAAGGGTGACGATGCCCAGCACTTCACTTTGTGGACTTTCTTAAGCAGCATTTCTCAATTTTGGCAAGTCTAAGATATGTGGACTTCAGCCCTGAGCTGGCTGGGGAATTTGGGGGGTTAAAACCACACTTCTTAAGAGTTGCCGGGGTTTGATAACACTGTCTTAGAGTAATGCACGTTGATCCCTGATTGTGGGAGAAGCTTCAAAGTCTGTACTCTTGAAGATGGCAAGACAAGAAAGAATTGAGCCATATCCATTGGTGCCTTCTCTCATTCCATGTGGACCTCTGCATGACAGTCTCTGCAGCAAACCACAGTGATGCCAAAATGATAACGAGTACAATTATGTAATCATGAAAATGACACAATTATGTATTTGCAGGACCTCCAACTACATAAGTCATGTCATTTGCATCATCGCACACATGTTGTCATTTCCCCCTCCACTCCCCAGATGCCCTTGTCCCCACCACACTGAGAGCCTACCTATGAGAAGGTAGAAAGGGATGAGAAATGGAATGGTCCAGTTAATTCATCCCCGCTGCCTCCCTGGGCATAGGGAACCCAGAGGAAAAGAGCTGTTTTGTTCTAGGAAGATTAGGAAAAGCTAAGAACTAAGTAACACTGACTGATTTTGACAGGTTTGCAAGCCCCTGGAGTAATTACAGGATATCAGCTTTTGGCTTGCAAAAGCAAATAACCATATTTTAAATGTACAAACAACTGACACCGATCTTTTGCTGACTCATATGCTAACAAAGGCATTTTCAGTGATCAATCTATTCTCAACTACCTGGAGACAAAAGTGACACCAACTAGTAAAGCAGTAATTTGTTTATTGTTATAAGACAAGAAAATAAATCTATTTATAGTTTGGAGATAGGCTAATATTTGTCTGTTGTTATTTCTGTGTTCCTATGTTAACATCTGTCATGTTCCTTTGAGCATAACCCTACTGGTTTTGTACGTATTTGAAATAATCACATTTTCTATGCAGGTGTGTTCATACCTTTTTCCTTTGGGGCAACTCAGTTTTAGTCTGTTTATCCAGGATAAATGTTTAGGAGGATTTTCCATGCAAATATTTCTGAAATTTTCAAACAGGCATAACACAGTGGTATTTCTTAAAAAGCAACCAATGGGAAGTGAATCATAAGGAATTGTCACGGATTGTAACAACAGATATTTTAAGACCCTTTGATAAGCATGTGTTGCATTTTAGGTAAAAAAAAATCACATAACTATAATAAAAAGACAAAGACAAAATAGAAATTTTCAGGACTATAATATTGTAATAAAATACGAATAGGCCTATCAAAATATAATACAGGTTCAGGTTGTTCTCAGTTAACAACAACGATGCGGGTCATAATGTCCATCACTAAGTGACACAGTCAAAAAGTGCAATGTTGTGTGACTGCATTACTTAGTAACATCAATTCTAGCACCTTCAGTCATTAAGCGAATCACTGCAGGTCATCAAGCAAGGATATCATGTGGTCACAATTTGCAACCTCCTACCAGCTTCCCCATTGATTTTGCTTATAGGAAGCTGGCAAAAAAAAAGTCACAAATGTCAACAACATGACCTTGGAACACTGTGAGGGCTGGAATTACTTGTTCTGCCCCAGCTATAGACCCCAAAGAACGTAGCACACACAAAGTTTGTACAAAACTTAATTTACTAAAATAACTCAAGTCTTTTTCAAACAAAGGCTGTTAATAAACTTTCTTAATACTACAAGAATCCTAAGATAAGGTAATCACAATCTTACTAGAGTTGGCAGAAAGCCCAGAAGCAATTTTGCAGAGAATCCAAACGCGAAGGAGATTGAACTAAAGTTGTTCTCTACAGCTTGCTGCAATCCGCGTTCCTCCTTAAATAGGCTAAGGGAGTGGCCAATTAGCCCCAAGCCTTACTCTCGAGGAGACCTCCTCCTGAGGAGCCACTCCTGCCTTTTGGCAGCTCTACGCACCCGTGCATTGAGAAGAGGCTCCTCCTCTTCGTCCTTTTCACTTAAAGGAGCTTCTGGAGGTTCTGAAGGCCCTGGCTGAATCCTTGCCTCTGGCACCACATCTTCTCCAGCCTCCTCACTGTCCGACTCGAGCACCAGCTGCACAGGCTGCTGGCATAGCACCACAGCAGCCTCCTCGTTGTCGGAATCAGCTACAATCTGCACAGGCCACTGACAGGCCACAACATTACTGAAGGATCAGTTGTATGTACCATTCAATTCAATACCATCACAAGTTGAATAGTTGCTGAACAAGTAATTTTAAGTGAGGACCATCTATATTTCAGTATAATGAATACATATACAATGTACAACTTTTATTTTTATTCTATCGGTTGTAGAAACAATGATTTTAGCATACCTAAAATCTAAAATTAGAAGGAATATGCGTTGGCAGAAAGAGCTGAAATTCCTCAGCATACTTCCTGGGGTATATCTGTCACAGTTTTCCCCTCACTGCACAAAATATCTTCACCTATCAAACATACCAACCAAAGATCCAAAGCATGTAAAGCCAAGGGAGGAGGAAGACTGTTAAAACAGTACTTTGGCTCAAAGAACTCAAGAGATGTCCACAGATGTTATCTTTATTGTTGATTTTATGTGCTTAAATTAATAAATCTAATGATTCTTTGGATTTTCCCAGTCCACATATGGTGGTCCCAGCATTCCTCTATTTTTAAGCTACTTATTTAAAATCCACCTTGGAATATGTTTCAAGAAAACATATGGAAAGAATGGAAAATATTGACTTAATAGAACCCCAGTGAACTTGAATAAATTCTCTAAAAATAAAATAACAAAACAAAAACAAAAACAAAAACAAAACAAAACAAAACAAAACAAAACAAAACAAAACAAAACAAAACAAAACAAAACAAAACAAAACAAAACAAACAAAACAGTGGTTAAATGTTGGTTTGCTTTGCATTCTAAACCATCTTCCTGCTGTACCTGAGACAGAAACTACAAACAGAAGCTCATTGTAAAGCTCTTTATGCAGAATCTCCATCCTGTCGATGCCTAGCCCAAACCAATGGTCATTTATGTCCAACACTGTGAACAACACATGCAAAATCACTCTCTGGGCATCAATAGCTTTCACCTGCAAAGAACACCCCGGTTGCAGCTGTTCCAAGACAGGCAAACACTAAGATGTCAGTTCCAGTTCATTTGTTGCAAAATATTGGATAGCAGCTGTATCAATAACTCATTTAAAGAGTAGTTGTTTACATGGAACGGCTCTTCTGTCACAAGAGGCCACCTGGCACGAGGTCATTAATGAGATCCTCAAGGATTTTCAAATGAAAGGTTAACATCTATTTAAAAGCCAAAAAAAAAACCCTCAGACAATTCACATTATACCTAGTTTGCTGCTGCTCTTTCAGAATAAATTCTGATCAGCTACTGTAAAATATATCTATAGATATATATTCTTCCATTATAATCCTTAAAAAATGCTAACCTGATCTGGAAAATAGAAGAACTAGGCTTTTGAAGTTAAATTTGTCCTCTTGTTTTTCCAAGGCTTATGACCTGGCTGATATCTCAGAATTAGCCATGTATTTGAAAAACT